CATATTGAATCGGACAATCATATGGACTATGCCAGGAATGACAAATTGAAGAGGAATGGCTTTACATTCATCGTCAAAAAGAACATTTCACAATCTATCCTGAAGTACAGTGCTGTCAGTGATAGGATAATGTCCATACTCCTACAAGGAAAACCGCGAATATGACTATTTATTCAAATTTACACACCAACCACTAAGGCCAAAGATGAGGAAACTGAAGATTTTTACCAACTTTTGCCGTCTGCAATTGATCAAACATGCAATCAAAGTGCATTGATAATTACTGGTGATTGAAATGGGAAATTAAGAAGTGACCAAAGAAAAGGGGGGACAGCTGAGGAGGACAGCATATCAGAATTCAAGGAAAGAGTGTTTCAAGAAGAGTGTAGAACTTATGTTGAATGCTAACGAAAATTTTTTCAAAGTGCACTGAATTTAGCAGCATAGAAGTCACTGCCAACCTTGGGAAGAGTTAGACTTTAGGAAGAGTGGATCCTATGGAAGAATGAGGATGGAAGCCAGATGGTAGCGGACTGAGGAGTGAGTGACTGAGAAATAAAGCAGTGGAGACAGTAATTATACATAACTTTACATCATGGATTCAACTTCCTATTATAACAAGCTGAGTTATGATGATGAGAGAAAGCTGAACTTGGACCAAACTGTGAAAGCTAACACTTGTGTAAAAACTTACCGCTTTGAATTCAGCCGGAGAAGTTGTATTTCCTATCCCTGTGATGTAGGTGAGCATCGTGAATCCTGAGTTCAAAAGTCTCCCTTATTATTTCACCTCCATAACAAGGAAAGCCATGAACACAGAAGAGGGCTTTGGTTGGGGCATCTTCAACCCAGGTGACACACACCAGTGACAGAAGAAAGGCATGAGATGGAGGAAGAGCAGGTAGGGACAAAAGAAGCAGTTCCACTCAACACCTGTTTGCTAGTTAAGTTTCCGTTTTGTAATTAAATTCCAGCTTCCGTGACTATTTATAAAAATTCATAACAGCAAAATGGCACAAATAAACTTGGTGAAAGGCAACGGAGAATGGTTGTTTCCTTCATTTCTCTTTTACCTGGAAAGTACGTATGTGTGCTGGGAGGAGATGGATGGAAAAATGGAACTCCAGGGCTCTAGGGGAGAATAAAGTTGAAGAGAAAGACCCTAGGCTTCTAGGCCATACAAATAATGGATGCATAAATGAATGAATGAATGAGCAAACAAACAAACCAGAAGGGGTAGATACATCCTAAGAAAAGAAAGGAGATTCTGTGAGCAGCATCAGACCACCAATGGCAAAACAGAGGCCCTTTCCCTGGGTCAGGATGAAAACGTGTTCAGACTATTCCTCAAGTGTCTGTTTCAAAAGGACTCTGAGGAGCTTCTAGGGCTACGGTGCGTACTCTGTCCCTGCACACATCAGGTAGGGGAAAGAGTGAGAGAAGACAAGTGTGGTTCCGAGGTCAGGCCCAGTGCACAGGGAGAGGAAAGATGTGGGGGGAAGGAATGGAGCCTGAGCATCCACTCCATACAAAGAAAGCGCACAGGCACATCAGGCCTCCTGAATTCCTGGCACTTTCCCAAGTAAAATGGCATGTTGGTACCCTGAGTTTCCAAATATTTTACTAAGTGGTTCACTCTCTATAAAGGCATCCAACAAGCTTGAGAGGAAGGGGCCACTTACGGCCATCTGTTAAGTGCTAAGCACTGGCCTTTTTGTTTTATCCGTATTATCTCATTTAATCCTCACAGAAATCCTGGTATGTAAATATTACTTGTATGCATGCAAAAGCTGGACACCGAATAAGGAAGACTGAAGAACTGACGACTCTGAATGGTGGTGTTGGCAAAGAATATTGAATATACCATGGACTGCCAAAAGAACAAACAAATCTGTCTTGGAAGAAGCACAGCCAGAACGCTCCTCAGAAGCAAGGATTGCGAGACTATATCTCACGTATTTTGGACATGTTATCAGGAGGTATCAGTCCCTGGAGAAGGATATTATGCTTGGTAAAGTAGAGGGTCAGCGAAAAGGAGGAAGGCCCTCAATGAGACGGATTGACACAGTGGCTGCAACAATGGGCTCAAGCATAGCAACGATTGTGAGGATGGCGCAGGACTGGGCAGGGTTTTCTTCTGTTGTACACGGGGTCGCTATGAGTCGGAACTGACTGGACGGCACCTAACAACAACAGCACTTGACTGACAAGAAAGTTGAAGTTCATAAAACCTGCCCTACAGTCATACAGCACATCAGTGAAGGGACTGGGGTTTGAACCCATGTCTGCAAGACTCCAAATCCCATGCTATTTCCACCATAGCAAGATGCAGGCTGGGAGAAACGTATCTGTTTCCACTGAGGGGGCAGGGGTAGACTTGGGGTAAACGACAAGACACCATGTAAAGGATAGAAGATTGAAGAATGTCAATTCTTTTCTGAGAATAGATAGAATTACAGAAGAAATCACCTAGAAAAGAGAAGACAAGATACTCTGACTTGGGAAATGGAAAAACGCCTGGGATGAAAAATGCAGATGTTAGGGACAGAAAGTCTGGGTTCAGAAGTCAGCGTGAGAATATCCAGAGGCAGTATGAAGAGGCTAGGGCCCTTTGCTTTGGCTCTGAGAGGAGACAGTGCTCAGTTACTGAACTTCATCTCTGATAATGTGACTTGTGTTGATATAAAAGTTTTCTGTCAGCCAGGTTCCCTACAATTTTTCCTCTGTGAAATGGGTAACAGTGGTTAAAGCTCTGCTCCTCTTTCCCAGAAGAGTACAGACTTTCCCTCAGGACAGCCCAAGAAGCCATCTGGCAGGAGTGAAGACAAGGCAAGGCAGCTAGCCCAGTGCTTGTTCTCTGGGAAGTGAGGCTGGGATCAGAACGGCAGGGGAAGGGTTTGGGGGGCTGGAGGAAGTCTGTCAGAAATGGAAATGGCAGGATCATACCCAGAGATGGGAGCCAGTGTGGGGGCAGGGAAACATGGACAGGCATTCAAAACCAGAGAGAGGACGGAGGGGCAAACTGAGTCCCTCCAGTAAGAAGAGAAGTTCTTTGGTTTAGAGTCAAAACCACAGTCTCGGGTCCCAGATACTGCCATGGGCTTTTCTGACATTTCCCTGAAGTGTTTCGGGGACAAGCCCAAAAGGAGAGTGCTGGCTCACCCTTCCTCCCCCGCTGCCCCTTTCTTAAGCTTCACTTACTGGCCTTCTTCAATGGAGTAACCAGAGCCTGGTGTAGGATGAGGGTGGAAAAGGTGGAGGAGAGTTTCTGTTCTGCAAAAGGAGAGGAGAATGAGGCAGGGAGAGAGGCTGAGTGGCTGGGCACCTGATTCCTGGGAGTGACACAGGGTCCTGAGGACAGCCAGCCCTGGGTTTCTGGGCCCAGATTCTCACAGTCCCGGTTAAACTGAGAGAGACCCCCGACAGCTCTCTCCTGGGCGCCACATGGCTTGCAGGTCTCTGACTGAGAAGGGGACTTAGTGAAGTTGGAAACTGATCGCAGTAACTTCCTGTATCTGTGAGGGTAGGAGGAGAAACGTGGAGGAAACTAGAGGGGGAATTCCCTTGGGAAGCCAGGGGTTGATCTCCCCCAGAGACACGTGATGGCAAGCGTAATAACTACTGCTTAATATCCCGCCCGAGGCAAAGTCAATAATTGCTTTGGGCAGCTCCGGCAGGTGGTGTGAGCAAGCCGTGGAGGTAGCAAAAAGCCTTGGCCCGGGAAGGGGCACTGCCGGGAGGATGTGCGGATCCTGAACGAGGCTGTGAGCGGGGCCTCCTGATCTTGGCTTTCTCATCCTCCAGGACGGACATGTCAGAATTTCGCAACTCCTTGATCCTCATGGCCTACATCATCATCTTCCTCACTGGTCTCCCTGCCAACCTCCTGGCACTGCGGGCCTTCGTGGGGCGGGTCCGTCAGCCCCACCCTGCCCCCGTCCACATCCTCCTGCTCAGCCTGACGCTGGCGGACCTGCTGCTGCTGCTGCTGCTCCCGTTCAAGATCGTGGAGGCTGCTCAGGGCCTCCGCTGGCATCTGCCCGTGGTGCTCTGCGCCCTCACGGGCTTCGGCTTCTACAGCAGCATCTACTGTAGCACATGGCTCCTGGCAGGCATCAGCATCGAGCGCTACCTGGGAGTGGCTTTCCCCGTGCAGTACAAGCTCTCCCGCCGGCCCGTCTACGGCGTGATTGCCGCTCTGGTCGCCTGGATCATGTCCTTTGGCCATTGCACTGTTGTGATCGCGGTGCAGTACTTGAACTCGACCCAGCAAGCCACGAACGAGAGCATGTTTGTCTGCTATGAGAATTTCACCAAACAGCAGCAGGATGTGGTGCTTCCTGTGCGGCTGGAGCTCTGCCTTGTCCTCTTCTTCATCCCCATGGTGGTGACCATCTTCTGCTACTGGCGCTTTGTGTGGATCATGCTCACCCAGCCCAATGTGGGGACCCAGAGGCGGCGCCGAGCCGTGGGGCTGGCTGTCGTGACGCTCCTCAACTTCCTGGTGTCCTTCGGACCTTACAACATCTCTCACCTGGTGGGGTTTCACACTGGACAAAGCCCCGCATGGCGAATGGAAGCAGTGCTATTCAGTTCGCTCAACGCCTCTCTAGACCCCTTGCTTTTCTACTTCTCTTCCTCGGCGGTGCGCAGGACCTTCGGCAAAGGGCTGCAGGTGCTGCGGGATCAAGGCTCGTCCTTGCTGGGATGCAGGTGCAGACACACGGAAGAGGTGACCAGTGGGGACAGAAGCGTGAACAAAGCAGAGGGAGTGCCCAGTTCTGACTTCACCACAGACTAGTGATTCCCCCCGCCTTCAGAGGCACTTTGGGGTTTTGGTTACGTATGGGTTGAACAGGCTGGGAGAGGGGGAGCATGAGGGTTCTTGTTCCAGATTCAGGAATCCTTAGACCCCATCCACTACTGGGACTTTGTTGTAAGAAGCACCCAGATTTGTGAAAACCTCCCTCACCAACTTGGTACCCACTCGTGACTGAATTACCTCCTCAAAGGGGCATGGTTCAGTGACAAAAGAAGAAATGGTGAGGCGTAAAAGCACTGTCAGGATAGGGCTTTGGAGGCAATGTAGCGAGTTCAAATTCTGCTCTTATGAGGCAGTTGGTAGTGAAGCACAGAGTCCTAAAGCAATCTTAGAAACAAGGCCTAGACACTGGGCTAGGTGTTGATGCTGGGAAGAAGCCAATGGGAAGGAGATGGGACAGAAATACTCACTGAAGCCAAAGAAGACTCAGAAAGGTCTGAGAAAAGGGTTCTAGAAGGGAAGGCCAGGGCTTGGACCTCTACTGGACTGGGCTTGCACTGTATCAATTTGACTGTTGCTTTGTATGTGTGCTCAAGCCGTTGAGGGGTGCATTCCATCCCCCCATTCAACTGGGAGCTGCCTGAGGTCCGGGTCTTGACCTCTTCCTCCATGGCACCCCACACTGGCCAGGACATGCCCGGCACCCATCAGTCAGAGGTTGACACTGACCAGCACAGGAAAAGACAATCAGGATGCCGCGGCAGATTGAAAATAAAGAGGCTAAAACTCTGAAGCGAGCGTCCGTAATTCTTGTAGCGTTTCTGCGAGCAGGGGGAGGGCAAACATGGGACAGAGAGCCCAGACTCGGCAGCACTTAGCAGCCAAGGGGAAGGTGACGCATTTGAAATCACGGAAACGTGTGAAGATGCGATGAGAGTGAAGTAAGTGAGGACACTGATGACGGGAGAGGCTGAACTCAGAGAAGTGGGGTAAGTGCCAACTCAAAGCTGTGGGTCTATCACAGGAGCTAAATAGTATGTTGCTCTCCTGCTCAGAAACCTGCCGGGTTCCCCTATCATCTACCAAACTAAGTCGAAATTCTTCCTCCCAGGAACTCGTATCATCCCATTACCTGCCTTATGTCCTCTCTTCCTTTCCAATTCTGCCTGCCTAACTCATTGTCTCTCTCCAGTTGAGTTTCCTGACTCTCTAGCCCCTAGCCTGCGGTTTGCAATCCAGGCTACACATCAGAATATATGAAGGTGTGAAAATGTTACAGACAGCCACCTCAGAATCCTGGTGGGGTGGGGCCCTGGCAGGTGAGCTTTATAAAGCTTCCCAGGTGACTGTGATGGGCAGCTGGGGTCAGAAATCACTGCCTTCGTTCAGGGGCCAATCTGTCTAAGAAATTCTTCAGAGAGACCTTTCTTGCTTATGCTTGCCCCACCTCACTTCAAGATCCCCCATCTTCTGGTCAGTTGCTTCTTCTCTTACAAAACTCCACGCAATATTCACTTTCTCCAGAAAAATTTCCTTTCTTACTCCCACTGAACTAAGAGCTCATTTTCTCTGTTTTCTTACCACAAAAGAACACTGGACTGGTGCCATAAAAGACCCGGCTTCGGTGCTGGTTCTGCTTACTAGCTGGGTGGCCTTGAGCAAGTCACAATTTCAGTCTCCATTTCCAAATCATAATAATGAGGATAATTAAAGAAAATTAAAAAACTTAAAAGAAATGTAAAACCAAAACCCGTTGCTGTCGAGCAGATTCTGACTCATAGCCACTCTGTAAGACAGGGTAGAACTGTCCCGTACAGTTTCCAAGGAGCAGCTGGTAGATTCAAAAGGCTGACCTTTTGCTTAGCAGTCAAGCTCTTTACCACTGCGCCACCAGGGCTCCGGAAGAGAAATACAAAACCGCTGCCGTCAAGTCAATTACGGCCCATAGTGACCCTATAGGACAGAGTAGAACTGCCCCACAGGGTTTCCAAAGAGCAGCTGGTGGATTCGAACTGCTGACCTTTTGGTTAGCAGCTGTATCACTTAACCACTGTGCCACCAGGGCTCCCAAAGAGAAATATAGTAAATACAAATTTAAAATTATGGAATTAATTAATTAGGTAGCCAACTATATAGGATGTGGGAGACCTGGTTTGACAGCAATGCCTGAGAAAAAAATCTGGGATCTTTCAGCTGACTGTAGCTTACTATGAGTCCCTGATGAGTTATAGCTTCCAAAAAAGCTAATTTGATTTTGGATGCACTACAAGAAATGGTGCCAAAATAAGTTGATGATAATCCCCCTCCACTTAGGTCTAGTCAGAAGCATGTTCAGTACTGAGCAACACATTTTTAAGGTCACTAACTCAGGGAATCAAGCCCAGAAAAAATTAACCAAAAACTGAATAATAGCAATAATAATAATGAAAAAGCATATTAAATGCCAAGGTCAATTAGAGAGAGGGAATTTGGATCCGGGTCTTCCTGACTTCAAAAACCCGGTGGCATCTAGTCAATTCCGACTCACGGCGACCCTACAGGACAGAGAAGAACTGCCCCACAGGGTTTCCAAGGAGTGGCTGGTGGATTCAAACTGCTGACCTTTCGGTTAGCAGCCAAGCTGTTAGCCACTGTGCCACCAGGGCTCCATTCCTGACTTCAAGTGCCTGCTTTTCTCACTGACACATGAGAAGCAAGCAGGGAATGCTGGATGGGTGGCTGGGACAAGACAAGGTCCATTTTATGGAAGATGCTTCTATGTAGTACCTCAAAGAAGAACAAGGATCATGGTAGAAAGAGGCAGGGAGATACACTTCAAACAGTTACCCGTTGCGGTTGAGTCGATTCCAACTCATAGCGACCCTACAGGATGGAGTAGAACTGCCTCATACGGTTACCAAGGAGCAGCTGGTGGAACTGAACTGCCAAACTTTTGTTTAGCAGCTGTAGCTCTTAACCACTGTGCCACCAGGGCGTCAAACAGTAAGGGCTGTCTAAAATGGAACAGACTACCTCTACCTATCAGGGTTATCACTCCCCAGTCTCCAGCAATGTTGAAGCAGAAAATAAAAAATCCCCATCGTAGAACATAGAGGAAACTCATCCATCTGATGAGGGCTGACCCAGTGACCAAACCTCTTCCAACTCTGAGATTCTCAAGTTCTTTAGGGACATGGATGATCTTGCCAACCAAGAAAGTACAAAATGAAGAAGTCATTTCGTTTTTCAGGAGGTTATAAGAAAATCACAGGACCTGGTCTGAGACTTTCAAGGTGAAGCTTTAGCTACTCATTTACAAGTAGCTGACCTTCATCAAGTCACTTGATGGATCAGTGCATTTCTTCATTGGTAAATTAGCAATTCATTTGGTCAACGAATGTGTATTGACTGCTTGCTATAGGCCACTTTTCTAGGGGCTGGAGATACGCAGTGTATAGGAGACAGGGTACCTGACCTCTTGGGGCTTCCATTCCAGTAGAGAAAAACAATAACAAGTAAAAAAATGAACAAACAAGGTAATTTCAGAATGTAGCAACTGGTTTTACAAAGGAAATAAAATAGGTTTATGGGAGAAAGTATAATGAGAGGTGGAAGGGATTGAGAACAGTCTCCTGAGTCAGCGATGTTCAGCTGAGACCTGAAGCATGGAAAGGAACTGCCGTAACAGGTCCATGAGAAAAGCATTCTGGAAGCAGGAACCACTGATGCAAAGTCCCTGAAGAGGGAGAAACCCTTAGCGTCTAAATGCCAGAGAGGTCAGTATAGGGCTGGAACAATGGTCTGCAAAGTAGCCCTAGTGGCGCAGTGGTTAAGAGCTACAGCTGCTAACCAAAAGGTCAGCAGTTTGAATCCACCTGCCGCTCCTCGGAAATCCTATGGGGCAGTTCTACTCTGTTCTGTAGGGTTGCTAGGAGTTGGAATCGACTCGAAAGCAACAGGTTTTTTTTTTTGGGGGGGGGAGGGTTTGTTAACCCATAGACTGCTGCCCACCCCCTTCCCAATTTAAGGATCAGTAGGTCTGGGGTGGGACCCAACTGTTTGTATTTCTAATAAGTTCCTAGGCGGTGCCGATGCTGCTGATTCAAGGACCATGCTTTGAGAAGCACTGGGCTGGACTACTACTGCAAACTAGGGAAAGTGAGAGAAGGCGGTCAGCAGGGATCAGGTCATGCAAAGTCTTCTTGGCCACGGAAAGGAGTTTGGATTTATTCAAACAGCCTTTGTAAGTCAGCTGAGGGTTTTAAGCGAGAGAGAGGCACTATCTGATTTTCTTTAAGATGATCACTCTGGCGGCTGTGCCTACCACAGAAGGGAGATGGTTGTTAGGACCGAGGAGATTATGTGCATGACAGAGTTAAGAAACCATAGAGTACTATGCAAACATACAGGGCTTTCATTAGGCTAGCAGTTCCCTGGAAGTGGGAGCTGTTTCCTCCTTTATTAAAATCAGTGGTCCAAGGACCAACTAGCCAGGAGGAAGCCTTACAAGTTATCATGCATCTACAATCAAATCTGTCTTGGAAGAAGTACAGCCAGAATACTCCTTAGAGGCAAGGATGGCAAGACTCTGTCTCACATACTTTGGACATGTTATCAGGAAGGACCAGTCCCTGGAGAAGGACATCATGCCTGGTAAAGTAGAGGGTCAGTGAAAAAGAGGAAGACCCTCAACGAGATGGACTGACACAGTGGCTGCAACAATGGGCTCAACCATAACAACGATTGTGAGGATGGTGCAGGACCGGGCAGTGTTTTGTTCAGTTGTACACAGGGTCACTACAAGTCGGAACCAACTGGACAGCACCTAACAACAATAACAAGTTGGTAAATGATGTCCCCAGTGGTGTGCTGGAAAATGTCTAAAAACAGCTCTTACTTGTGGCTGAGATGGGGATGGTGGGAGCCGGGAAGGCCTTGATTTGTAGCTCTTGTCAATTTCTGTGATATACATACTCCCATCACAGCCAACTTCTACCGATGTGAAGGCATCAAACAAGGGGTTGGCAAGAGATGCTAATAATTAGCTCTGACGAGGCAGT